GGTTCTTTCATATGTTCTTGACTCAGTGCCAAGTTCTTTTCTCCCCTTCTGAGTGCTGCTGGTATTGGAGAATATTTCTCAGTCCAGAAGCCAAACCTGCAGATACCATGACTACTCTAGGCACCAAGTGTCTCTGCTTTTCTAGGAAATGTCCCTTTGTGTATTCTAAGTACTATGCAAATTTCCAGCAGCCTTCTCTTCAAGGTTATTTAATGATGATGATGGGGAGGGGAAGACATGCATACGTGTATAGTTTTACCCAGATACACCAAATCACTGAAAATGATAGTGATCGCCTTATCTTCTCTATTCCCTCTTATGCATCCTTTTGTCTGCCACAACCAGAGCATTCTTGTTGGAGTGTTTTGTTCCTGTATCTATGTGCTGCTGTTGTTAATAGGTGTCAGAGGGCTACTTCAGCTTTCCTGTGCCTCTCAAAAAATAGGAAAGTTTATTTTGTTAGTAACATTTCTCTTGGAAAGGGAGAACCCTCACTTGAAGACATTTCTCTGTCCCTCACAGGAAGTTTGTGTCTTCCTCAATTTCCTTTGCAGAATCAGCCAGTGAAGAAATCTAACTGGAGGCAACACCATGCAGATTTTATCAATGCCATTCAGTCAGCCAAACAAGTGACGAAAGCTATGCAAGAAGGTCGTCCTCTTCCTCCTCCCCCCCCGCCAAGCATCAATCCAGGTTTGTGGCTCAGTTTATCCTATTCTTGATCTTGTACTGATTTCTAGCAAAGCAATGAGCTCTTATTATGCACAGCTGGATTTCAGTTTTGTACCTCTCTGCACAACACCATGTGAACACTGATTCCTTCCATACTCTATTTTTTTCTGTGTTTCTTGGCTTGAGGAACAGTGCAGTGAAGAGGAAGTGGGGAGAAAGAGAAAGATAATTGTCCCTTTGTGGTTTATAAAGGTGGCAAGTTTGGAGCCAGGTGTTAGTGTTTTTGGAAGAGAGCTGGGATGCCTGTGTACTGCAAATGGCACTGTTGTGTGACAAAGTGTAAAACACACTCAGACTCACCACTCAGACTGAATGTAGTGCATATAGGCTTCCTGCTACCATGTGATAACTTTTCCACTATCCACTTCACAACCCCGGCTGTGCCATTAGGGGAAGTCATTTAGAAAACGTGACTGCTTTTACTCCTATAGCAGGTGTGGTCTCTACACAGAGCTCACTATGTTAGAAGTTACAGATCCAGAAATGTACAGCCAATATTCCTCATGATAGATGATTTACGAAATGTAGGAACAATCTTGGAAAAGGTCTCTGCGGAGTCCCTGCTGAGCCATAAAGGAAGAGGGAGGGAAGAAGGAGGGAGGGCTCTCAGCTCCCATACAGACTAGGAGTTCGTGACTGATACCAAAACCAGCTGTGAGGACTGCAGTCTTCTTCCTCTTCTAGATGTCAGCAATGCAGTAGAAGCAGCAGGACATGTTTTCTCTCCCTGATTGGGGTCAAGCTCTTCTCTGAACTTCCACTGTTGAATACCTTAATTACTCTGTTATTTCTCATTTGACTCCATCAACTCTAAGAGCAAACCCCTTCCTTTCCTTCTCTCTCTTTGGGTAACTAGAGTTGTGCAAGAGCTGGGGGAGTTGTGGAGAAAGGATCTGCGGAAAGGCCAATTGCTGAGGGGCACGGTGGGGATGTATACCCAGTAGCTCAGGGCTGGAGAAAAAGAGCACGTACTGTGGGAAGGAGAGAGGTTCCCATTCCCTCTCTTCCTCCTTCAGATAGATCCTAAACCTTGGTGCACCAGTTCCCACTGCTGAGATCGACAAGTGCAGTGCTTGGGCGGAGCTTGACTGTGTTGAGCTGAAAGAATGCTGACCCTCAGCACTGAACATTTATTGAAAGGAGTAGGGCTGCACCAGTGCTAAATGGGAAATCAGAGCTATAACACTGCCAGAAGCAACTCTGGAAGCACTACTGTGTGTTCTTTACAGTACTACTTCATGCCTAGAAACCTGGCTGTTTAGTACCCCTTAGCTGACTGGGACAGCCTCTTAAGCTATATTTTAGGCAGTGTCCAAAGGAAATGCATTTCACTAAAACAAATGGGAATGTTGATGGCCACACTTAAAAACTAGTCTTGAAATATTCTTTGACTCTTCAAGGAATTTCTAAATATTGCTTTAACTGCAGATTTTTTAATGTGAAATTTTGAGAGAGAGGGCTTAGGTCAAAGATATTTTAATTTGCTTTTATTAATGCTCAGGGATTTCCTACTGATAGCAATTTGCTGAGTTAATACCATAAGCACATGATTTAGGATCCTAAGTGCTTTCTTTGTAATTCTCCTAATTTTCTAATTTGGGATTTTTGAGACATTAAGAGCTGATGGGAGCTCACTGTGATCACCAGCTGATGGAGCCATCTTGGGTACTTCATTGAAGTAGGGCAAATCCTTTCTTGTGCTATAACAGCTGTGACACCACCTGTTCCTTTCCTATGATCAGACTATATTCAGTGTCCGTTCTGCTTGAGAAGATTCAACGAGGCTGCAGCAGCAAAGCACATCAAATTTTGTGAAGAACAAGCTACTCGCCGTGCCATTGCTGCCAAGATCACCAAACAGCCTATGGTAAGCAAACATGTTCACACTTGCATTGTCCTTGAGACAGATTTGCCAAATTATACTTTAGGTTGAGTAAAACCTGTATTAATATTTATCCTAATGTTCCAGGGAAGTTGGTAAGCTTCCTGAATGCAAGACACATGACCGAAGGTCTAAGCATCTTTGGGGAACCAGAAAAGCAGAGCTAATTGGTGGTGTCTTTAAGTGAGCCCCTCTTTTATTAAAAATAATAACAACACAAACAAATGTTGTGTTTTTTAGGCTTAAAAGCAGCATCCTAATGGGAGCAGGTGCACTTTTTCTTGTTCTTTTCTAACACTGATTCAGCAATTTGGAGAATTGTTGTGGGGCTCTGTGAACTTCTTGCTAGAGTTGGGCATGCATTGTGCATCTTATTCTCTTACCCTAGGGCAAGCAACCAATGACTCAGAAAAAAAAAACAACTGTCACACCTCTGTTACTGCATGAAAAGAGAGTACAAAAGGTTGATAACACAGAAAAATCTACTCCAGGTAAGGAGTTCAATCAGCTATATTTATGTTTGCCTTAGAACAGACTCCACCAGCTCCAAATGGGTGTTGCTGATATCAAATGGCAGTACAAATCATCCCGATGCATTGTGCCAATTGCACGCACAGAGGGTTTCAAGTAGGTTCTAAGAAGGGACTTACCCTTTTCAGTTAGATGTTCTCAAACAGAAGCTTCTATATAAATCTGAAGTGTGCTGTCTGGGAGACAAGTTCCCTCTTTTTCATAAACGATTCTATAATATCACATTCTTTATCTTTTAAGTCAATTAAGATGAAGCATCAGCTTTGCACGTTTTTCATTTGATATGACTCTCACTTGTTGACTGAGCCTTAAAGATTACACTGCCACATCCCTAAAATTGTTCCCTCTAATCAGGAGTCAGTAAAATATGCTTGCTAGTATTCATTGCTACCAGCAATCATAACCAACATTCAGTCTGTTTAAAAGATGCTTTATAGAGTTAGCTGTGGTGTCATCTGTGAGTGATTGTAAGTACATGAAGCTCGGGGGAGACATTATTACTCTACAACCGCCTGAAAGGAGGTTGTGGTGAAGTGGGTAGGTAACAGCGATAGCACAAGAGGTAATGGCCTAAAATTGCTCCAGAGAAGGTTCAGGTTGGATATTACAAAACATTTCTGCTCAGGAAGAGTAATGCTGTTCTGGCACAGGCTGCCCAGGGAGGTGGTGCCGTCACCGTCCATGGAGGTGTTCAGGAGCCATGTGGATGCGGCTCTGAGGGATGTGGGTGTGGCAGGGATGGGCTGATGGTTGGACTTAATGGTCTTAGAGGTCTTTTCCAGTCTTAAGGACTCTACAATATTATTATTTGTATATCAATATAGTTCGATCTATTCGTATATCAGTATCTTCTATCTTTACATTTCTGGAGGTTGGGTTCACGTACATTCAAATCTTTTATGCCCAATAACATTTTTAAATAATTATCTGCAGAGACTCCTCATGGAACACTGCAAAAAAGCAGAAAACCTTTGGGCGTGTCTCCTGTAAAAAAATCTGCTGGAGAATTTGGGTAAGGAATGCTTTTTTTTTTATTTCAACAGATGTCTTTAGCAAGTCTCATGTTCTCCTGTGCTCTACACAGAGTTCCTATATGAACAGTGTATGAACTCTTAGGGTTGCCATGCAGGGCTCACAGACCATCAGCAGACCTCTATTGATCCTACCACCATTTTCAGGGCTTAGCTCTGACCCTCTGGGCTGAAAGGCATCTTTTTGTAGCATCATGGCTGAGTCCAAGCACCATCTGCACTGCAGACAGTGCAGCTGATATGCAGACTGGACAGAGCAGGAGATGGGTGGACTAATCAGCAAAGCAGAGGTTAGGAAGTGCCTCTGGCCTCCTTGCTGTCAGGTGGCAGATCCCGAGTATGTTTTCAGTGCTGGGAAAGGAGGCATCAGAAAAATGGCTGAGGGAGCTGCAAATCTCTCTAAGGATGATTTAATCTAAAAGGTAATGACAAAAGCAAGCAGTTCCTTGACTTGTGTAACACTTGCAGATTGTCCTTGACCTAACTGAAAAATTCTGTTTCCTAAAGTTGATTTCACTCACTTAAAAACATTACAATTTTAACCTTTGTGTGATGGTTTGAAAGGAAAAGTGCAGCAAAAACCTGAAAAGGGGCAAGAAAACCTCTGGAGAGAGTAACATAGTGGTGTTCATAAAAACTTAAATGCCAAATGTTTACCAAAGATATTGAAAGAAATCAGCCCTCCAACGTAATACTTAATAACATAAAAAGGCTTACTTTTGCTTTGGTTTAATAATCTCAGCTTTGGTTTAATAATCTCAGCTAAAAGGGAGTTATGTGTTTCAGTGTAAGTAACCAGTATGTGGCTTTGTTGCTGCTTTCAGACAGCAGACACAGACCAGAAGATAGAGTGGCTGCCTGCCAGGGACACATTAAGGTGTTCTGCAGAAGCACTGAGCCTTAACAGTGTGATCCTCCAGCACCTCTTCTACCCCAAGTCCTGCAGTGCTCAGTCTGTTGTGATGCAGTGATAATAATACAGTGGGTACCATCTCCAATTAAAAATAATAATAATAATGGAATTTCACTGTCCTCCTTTATTTTTCTCTTGGCCACAAAGCTTTTAGGCTGTCCTTTTTAAAGCTGTGAGATCATCCGTACCAGTTGCCAAAATCTAATTAAAACATCATCTGGAAGGTTGTGGTCCATTCAATCAGAAAGGACTTCTTTCCTGTGAAGGTGACAGAGCACAGCAACAGGCTGTCCGCAGAGACTGTGGAGTCTCCTCCTCTGGAGATGTTCCAGACCCACCTGGATGCTTTCCTGTGTAATGTAATCACCCAATCATCAATATATGAAACTTGCTGTCCCATTTGGGACTGTCTGTAAAAACCCACTGGTTAAGAAAACATAGAGTTGGAGCAGGACCAACTTAGAAATAAAGTTAAAAAGTAATGAATGTGTTCCCCAGTGTGGGCTGGGAAATGAACACTAGGAACAGTTGTGTGTACACATAGGTTGAAGATTCTTTTGTTCCACCAACTCTAATGCTTACTCTTCAATGTTACTTCAGCAGGTTCACGTGGCTTCCATCTTCTCATTTTCAAACGAGTGCTTTTTCTCTATGAGAGCAGATGTTCATTAAGTTTCTCAATTTCACAGACTTTCTTGATTACAGGAATTCTGTTTAGCTGCAAACGTGTCCAAGCGGAGTTCAGATGGATAGACAGACTGTTTTCGTGTCTCATGTAACATGAGGTAAAATACCCTGAGCTATCACAGAGGATCAGTGCCTGACCTGGGCGATGGTATCTCCCTGCTCTATCAGAGCTCTACAGGGCTTTTTGTCTCAAACCTTTTCTTCCAAACTGTGCACAGAATGTGGTGGTTTTTAAGGAGAGAAATAAGACCAAGATGCTATCTGCTCTGTGCCTTGCTTGTGAGCTGGAGCGTATGGCTGCATTCTGTAGGCTTCAGCCACACAGCTTTGCTGAGCTCAGCATGAGCACACCCATGTGTTTGCCTGCAGCGCTGCGTGCTCCACACAAGATGACAGTGATGGTGATGGTTATCCAGGTTTAGAGGTGTATGAATAGCATGTTATATGTACCCAGAGCTGTGCAGAATTAAGCACAGATATGTTTGATTTGTGCATTTTCATGTCAGAATAGAAGCCACGTGCTAATGCAGACTTAACATTTTATAATTCATAAATAAGATCTTGCAATGGAGTGGTGACAGCTAATCTGCAGGCAAAAAATAGTTCTTTCTTTTCATTTGCATTGTACTAGGATACTTCTACCACATACTATATATGGACTGCTGCTGAGCTCCATCTATATTTATGATATCAAGAATCTAGAAAAGCCATTTTGAATAGACTGAAGAGTTAAAGCAGGAGCAGCACCTATTTAAGGTATACTTCTGTGTTTTACTTGCAGGTGCCACTACAGTGAGCTTTGTTTTCCTTGTAGATGTTGCAGTGTGCCTCTTACGAGTTTTAATGCAAAAATGGTTGTTCTCTCCTGGCAGCCTGATCTACCCCAATTTAAGGGGTGGCAGCCCTGCCCATGGCAGAGCAGTTGGAAGTAGATGATCTTTGAGGCCCCTTCCAACCCAAGCCATTCTGTGTCTTTTTACGTGACTGAGACTTGGCTTTTAACTTGCAGTTCAGTATGATCAACATCTCTCACTAACGTATCTCAGTGAGATACATTTCATAAGAGACTGCAACCAGAGCGTGTCTCTAGGCAGCCCAGAGCTCTGCTCCCATTGCAGCGAGCAGCTCAGAGTGGTGGGTGTTATGCAACATTGCAGTGTTTCCTTCTTAACGTCTTATTTTAATGCAAAGACAAATATTTCATAACTTATTAAACCTCCTAGAAAAGCACAATCTGAAGTGTCTACTAGTATATGTGATCAGGCATGTACAAGAATGTGTTGTTTGGGGGTTGTTTTTTTTCTTTTCTCAAGTACATAAACTTGAATGAAGCCACGTGAATACAATTTGCACGAATAAGGAAAACAATGCAGTAAACAGACACATACCTTTCCAAGTCTGAACAGAATTATGAGTTGTAAAATGTGCGTGTAACACTGTTTACAACCTTTTCACTCAACTGTAATTTGAACAACTGCTAACTGGGCATGAACCTACTCTTCCTACTGCTATCCCTGTTATGATGATCTTAACATTTATTTTGTTTTGCCCTATGCTAAGATTTTTAAAAATAAGAAAACTTCTCCAGTGTATCTGAAGAACATATTCCTGCACAAAGCACAATAATCCCACCATCCCTTAATCCAAATAATGATAAACTTGAAAAAATATTCACACAATTATAGTTCATTAACAGCAAAACAGCAATCAGTGATTCACAAATATTGGTTTTTTTATTTGAAGTTGCCTGGAAATAGTCCTGTGATTACCAAAGGAGAAGAGAACAAGCTTGCTTCATGGTGTATCTGTAATTATTATTAGGTACTATTAATTCAAGTGAATTTAGTAGAAGAGATTGCATATTCTGATTCAGAAATTCTGCATCTGTTTCAGCTGTAATAGAACCCACTAGTAATGGCATCATATGCTAAAATGGTGTTCTGTTTTTTAAGTATGGGTTATGCAAGGCAGCAAGTAAATTCTGAAGTTGTTTGTTTAAATGTTATCTACTGGGAGATGGGATTTTTTGCAATTTCTGCTAGTTGGTCAGGGGACAGGGCTGTAATACCTATATCAGCTGGAAACATACAGCAATTTACTATAGGAAGCAAACATGAGCCGTGATTCTGATTTGGGTGAAAATACCAAAATACCACTCAGCAAAAACAGGATGAAGATCATCTAACCATTGCCCTACTTGCTGATTTCCTATGCCATTTTGAGGCAGGTTCACAACCCATTGTTTTGAAGAGGCCCATCCTGAGGTAACCACCACAAGCTCTTCTGCATGGGGACCTACCACAGCCTCATTGAAGGCAGACCTTGGCTGGAGGCTCCCCTGGGCAATCTCCAATCTTTGAGACAATTCACTTCCCATTCTGAAAACTACACCTATACAAGACATCTGTTTTGGTGTAGCCATGCAGCAGTGGTAGTTATTTCCAGCCCTTGGAAAAATGCAGGAGATGCACATAGTCGAAGTGCACTTCAGAAGAAAATAAAGAAGTCTACTTAGGTGTAATCACAACAGTGATTTTCTTTGTTTTAAAAGAGTGGAACTAGAAGATAAGATTTATTCTTGAATCTTTAAATCAAAATGATTCCATAACATTTGGTAATTAAGTAAATGCTTAGAAGAAATCTATATCACACCGATAAATTATTGATCTTAAGTTTGCCATGCGTATACATTTCCTGTGATTTATGGCTCATTAAAATTATTCTTCTGTTCTTTTCCCCCTTCTTCCCATTTACCCTAACCCTATTTCTCCTAATGTGGCAGTCATAGTTTCATTGTGCCTATTACAAGGTTTTGCTGTTGTTGAAGACATTAAGCTGTTTGTTTAAAAGGTAAGAAACAAGAATATCGAGGGTACTGAGGGAAGTATGTTAGTCCTACTATTGTCATATGCTAAAAATTAATAATAGTATGAAAAATAGAGCTTCTTGTTTATTAACATTCTGAATTGAACTACCATGTCCATAACATGCTTTAAAAAAAAAAAAAAAAAAAAAAAATTGGGGCAGTTTTTCTTGAAACACAGAAGAAGAAAAACAAAAAATACCCTTCCTAACAGATTTAAGTAAGAAGCACAGTCTTTTCTTTATAAAAAAAAAAAAAAAGAAAAAAAAAGCAAGCATAGTTATTTGAAGGCATGATGAAAATGAGGCAACGTTACAGAATTTGTAGTGGATGGAAAAGAGCGAGGAAGATGATGCAGCTGGTTTATGGCCATGCCACCAGTTGCTAGCTGTAGACCTTGCTGTTGGCTGAGGCCGTTCAGCCTCTGTGATGATTCCTCTGGACCAAATGCCATTGTGATATCCCCAGTAGTGCTCTGGTTGTCACCTTGTGGGAGTTGCCAGAAACTCATCACATGAGTGAGATCCATGAAAGGCATGCTGGTAGTTTCAGCTGCTGTCTCTGTCTCCTTGTGCACTGGGTATTTGTTAGTATCACCTACAGGCCCTGAGGAAGCTTCTTCCAGACTAATTTTGTGGAGAGATTGAGGTTCTGGTAATGGCAGGTCCTCTAGAAGATGGACGTTGTAACCTTTAACATCCACTTTGATAGGAAGATTCTTGAGGGAGCCTGCTGCAAATGAGGTAGAGCTAAGGTCATATTTATTAGACTGATGAAGGTTCAGGTTGGCAGGGATGGCTGTTGAGCACGGTGTGGGAGGGAGAGCTGCAAGGCTATCTGTACAGCCCATTCTTTGCAAAAGAGGAGAAGATTCAATAGGAAGAGCAGTTTGTAAGCTTGGCTGGGGATGAAGATGTGAACAGTTGTATTCCTTTGGTTCTGAATTATTCAAAATTCCATTCTGCACCGAGACCCTTTCAGGAAAAGGGGACAATATGCTGGCATCTTCCTTCAGTCTGAATGGAAAAAGCTGGTCAAGGAGACCTACCGAGTCACCATTCTGCAACCTGCTCTTGAGCAGTTCTTGTGGATGAGTCTTCCTTGTATGGCGAGTCAAGTGGTCCTTCCGCCCAAACCTCTGGGCACAAAACTGGCATAGAAAGTCTTTGCAACCTGTGTGAACCACCATGTGACGCCGCACATCTTTACGGGTATAGAAGTGACGCTCACAATGGTCACACTTATGTTTCTTTTCCTTGGTATTGCCAGTTGGTTTCCCTGCATGACTTTTGAGGTGTTCCAACAAAACTTCAGTGCCACCAAACTCCTGAGCACATACCCTACAGGTAAGGTCTCCACTGGTGGCTGAATGAAGAGCCAAGTGTCTCTTATAACCTAGCTTGGTGTTGTACTTCTTGCCACACTCTTCACACTTGAAGGCCATCTTGTTTGGGTCATGAGTCTGAAGGTGATTCTTTAGATGGTCTTTCCTATGAAATGTCTTTTCACAGTAGCCACACTGGTGAGATTTCTGTGGAGAATGAGTGGCTGAGTGCCTAAAACAGAAAGAAAGTGTAATCAGCATTTACTGTAATTTACATTAACTCTAGTACACAATGCAGCTTCAAGACCTGAAAACACTGGCCTCTTGAAGGAAGGCATTTTCACAAGTTCTCAGATTATTAGTAAAAGCCTTTTTTTTTTAGAGGAGTGTGTTAATCATAAAGCATACAGTAGGTTCAAATTGCTCACCACAGTCTTTCTGAATAGTAATTGAGGGAAACTAGTTTCCTTAATTATTGCAAACACAGGAATATGAAAACTGAACTTGGGGATTAACTGTCGCTAAGACACTGAAGAAGAAAAGGATGTCCTTGTTTTTCCCACACAAGAAAAGGAGTGCCTTCAGAGCTGTACCTGAGCAGTTTATATTTGGAAATGAAGGCTTTTGTGCATCCGTGCTGTGAACACTTGTAGGGGCGCTCCGCTTTGTGCACGTAAGTGTGGACTGTGAGCTTTTCAATGGAATCAAATATCTTCCCACAGAGTCGGCAAGGGTAACTGTCTGTCTGCTTCACTTCTCTTCCCTTCAACAGTGAAGACCGGCCATTTCTCCATTTAGGTATAAACCTCACAAGAGCATCACAAGTGTTTCCTGAGCTGGCACAGCTAAGCTTCGCAGCAGAGGAACAGGAAATGGTCCCATAGCACTGAGCAATGCTTTTGCCTAATGCCGATCCTCTCAGTTTCCCTTTGAATTTGTTTTTTGCTTTTAAGGATCCTAATTTATTTGGTGGTCTGAGCCTGGTGGTAAGGACTCGGTCTTTATTGATGCACTGGTGAGATTCCAGCAGAGCAAAAGTTGCAAAAGTACTTCTACAGCTGGAGCATATCCAAGGGTCTACAGGCTCTTTCTGCAACGAGAACAGAAGCAGGTCTTTCTTATTAGGCATTCTAAGGAAAGGTCATATTCTCACTGACACTACATCATCTCTGGGTGTTCCCAGGACGTGTTGTCCTTGGTCATATTTACTTCAGCGTACTACAATGCTGCTGTTCAGCAGGAAATGAATTCTCTCTAGGAGTCTAAAAACCAGAAGAGGAAAAAAAAAAAAGATTGACTAAATACCGATTTCCACATTTGTGTTTAGCATTTACTGTAGCAGTACTGAGTCCTTCACCTTTGCTCAACTCTGTGTACTGAATTTCAAAGTCTATTTGTTCTTATTATGGAATTACTTATAAAAGCAGTTGAGAATTGTACTTTAACCTTGGATTGACATCATTTATCTGCTATTGCAACTGTACAAAAATCACACAACTAGGGCCTGCCTAATTGGGTAGGCTTCTGCACACAAATGTAGTTTATCATACAGGATTTCCCTCTATTTTTGGCTGACTCCATGCCCCTTTACCAGAAGGCAGTAGTCAATGCCTCCAGGAGAGACTTTTTCACTTTGCTTCATGCTGGACATCAGACTTTATTAATTCAAAATGAAACAGTTTCGTTTTGGAGATATGAAGCCTATCCTTAAAGACATTTAAGTTTTTTGGGTTTTTTTGTGTTTGTTTCTTTTTGCAAGCCTTGTATTATTTGGAATTATTATTTCTGTGAAAATAAAAACTCTACTGGTCATTTGAACATATTTTAAATATAGACATTTAAAACATTCAAATGAAAAACTGTGCAAAAAAAGAAACCTAAGCCCAAAACAACCACCAGTTCCTGACAAAATGTATTAACAAAATGTATTTCCAGATGTATAACCCTGCATTTCCTCAGCTGTTTGTACATTACTTCTCACAAAGTGATGTTATTTTCCCCTGTCTCTAGCTTGCTTTGGAGGACACGGTGAAGCCATGTCCACTCTGTCTTTATCCATAGACAAAGAGCCCTACTCCTCCTTTTCTGTATCTTATGCTATGGCTCTCCTGTGCCTCCTTTCTGGACTATACTCTAAAATCCTCTGTGCAAATGAAGAAACAGGGAGCACCTGGAGCACCTATGAATTCCAAGTTCAGTTGTATTCTCTGTTTAACATTTCCTTCTAGCTTAGGTATGAGTCTTCACAGTTACATTTTCAATATTCAGAACCTTTCCTGTCTTTTTAAGGATTTTTACTATCATATAAAGAGAAAGGCAAATGGTAGGATTATTACACAGGAAAGGCTGAAGCAATCAGTGCATTATCTGACCAACTGGTCAAGGCATAACAAATGGGAATTGCTGAGATACATCTAAGGCTGGACAGCTTGGCTACCTAAGAAACAATCACAAACTTAAATAAGTCTTTCCAACATAACCCAGTGGAATCACTACTTCTGGATACGTCTGATGTCACCATTAGATTACAAACACAGGATATAAAGAGAAGCCTTACTATGGATGGTTGTTCCTTTAAAATTGCTCCTGGCTTTGTTTTAGCCAACTATTCTACGACTTGCTCTAGCATTATCACACACCGCATGTAAATAGCCGTAATTTACTACATGGAGACAGCCTCAGTGTAGATTAGGGGTACTTACTGCTACTACAGGCAAAGGACTGACATCAGATTCTTCTTTAATGAAGACTGCAGAAGTTTCCATAAATTTGGCATAATCGGCAGCGTACCATACTTTCAATTCCGTGTGGGGCTCAATTGGCTGTGAATGGAAGAAAATAGTTCACATTTACTTATGCATGTTTACCTACACCAAATAATACTATGTTGAAGACTGGAGGGAGGGGGATGCAATTTGTTTTCATTACTCATGTTGCACTCTTTGAATCTATTTAAATTACTGATAACTTAGTTTCAAGATTCAAACAAACACTTTCTGAGCATTATTATCCACTCTCAAAGGTTTGAATCTTCAGAGTTTCTAAAAGCACACCTGTATGTACAGAGATTTTGAGGGATCATAGTAGAACAGATGCCTCAGCCCTCCCAACTTCAGTGAGATTTATTTGCCTATGATGCCCAGATGTCCAGCAGTCTTTCCAAGAAATATCCTTGATGTTCCTAAAGCCCACTGAACATGACACCTAACTACAGGGTATAGGCAAAAGAAAATTGCATAATGAATGTGTAACAGCTTGAACACCCCTTGGATGCACAGATTCAGAGTTGATTAATGTGTGGACTTCAAATCAAACTTGCATATTTACATGCACTGGCTCTAATGGATGAGACTCAGTATGAATGGTGGGGATGGGCTGAAGGCTGGACTGGATGAGCTCAGAGGTCTTTTCCAACCTTAATGATTCAATGCACGAGCTATATGGTACCCCCTGCCCTTCTTTCACTGAAGCCTTCCTACACAGGCTTAAGGAAGTCCGTAATCTGCAGTCTTCCATCCAGTCATGCATACAGCAAATCTTGAACTGAACTACCACCTCATCATACAAGTACTTTCAGTCAATAATGGCAGCAGACAGAAAAAAAAGGATGAGTGATTAGATTAATTGGCTCACAATTTATCACATATTTAGAAGGAAAAGAGAGAAGTAACTTTGGGGTCATGATTTATATGACTTCTTGGCGTTGTAAGCCACATTATTCATCTACAATCAAAACTAACATTCTTTCAATAAATGCACAGCCAAACTGCATTGTACCTGTTTTTTTGTTTCAACTAAACTACATTTATGCCACTAGAAAGAACAAACTAGCCTGGAAAGACGGCAGCTGAGTCTTGTTCCACATGATATCACATCTCAGAATGCACATATAACATCAACGTTGCATAAGCATGGTAAGTGAAAGATAAGTTAGACTGTGAACGCTAAAAGATGACAGATAATTGTATCTATAATGTCCAAAACCTGAACTTCAGAAGCACAAACCTGCTTGCTTACTACAACCAGCATGGTCAGCTGTATGTTCTAATAACACCTGGCCTAAACAGAAATAGTACGCAGTGAATTTTCCACTTTGCAAAGGATGAGAGGCAGAAACATAATTTAGGAGACCAATCATGCATTGAGCTCCTGCATGTACTCCAGATGGAGAAAAGTACACATGTATCCATCCATATATGCATGCTTTTGTAGCCGTAATTTCAAGTCACTAAAAATCCTCAGCCTTTACTCTAAAGTGATATCCCATCTTTCTATAAAAACAGTGGAGCCAATACTTCCACTCTCAACAGATATTCAAACTCTCTTGAGAAAAAATCCTCATAACCAGCCCTAAGGCAGCCTCACAACGTGACCAGCAGGGTGTGCCTCAGTGTAGCAGAAGGCTATTTTACCCTACTGACCTGGACAAAATCTGCAGGACGCCACAGTACTATGAATGGCACTAGGACTTAGGAGTGAGAAAAACAGGTTAACTCCCCCCAGTGCATAGTAAGGGTTCCAAAACACATTATTCATCCCAAGATACTCTTCATTTTAATAATGAGAAGGATGCAACTCTCCATTAATGCTCACAAGCAATTCTATTGAAAGCAGCAGTGAGCTGTGTCAATACGGTATTTAAATTCTATCGGAAATTTTAAGTTACAAGTTTTGTAAATATGCTGCTTAGAAAAAGCATTTGTTCATGCTTTCTAAGTAGAGTATTATTAATGTTCTCAGTTCTACACATATAGCATATATTTAAAATCATATTGACTGAATCAGAATTCCAAACACAGCCTAAACATTGTCACAGACTGGGATATACTGTTATATGATGTCGATTTTTTTTAATTGCTTTACTATTCATCCAAAGACAAGTAGTGTTATAAAAGACTTTGAAGATGCAAAGTGTTATCACTATTAATTTATTCTCACGCCATCACTGCGTGGTAAGTATGATTAGTATTTTCTTATTCTTATGTTACTCACAACGCTATACAGGCATTTACTTAGAATAAAAAAGGGGGAGAAAAAAATGAATGTTCAACATGAAGACTTCAGTTTCCTAGATGTGTAAAAGTTCTGATTTAAAAAAAAAAAAAAAAAAAAAAAAAGTCTGATAAAGTGGTCAAAACAACAAAAACCAAGATGACCACATATTCATAGAATCATCACAGAATCATAGAATGGCCCGGGTTGAAAAGGATCACAATGATCATGTAGTTTCAACCCCCCTGCTGTGTGCAGGGTCACCAACTACCAGACCAGGATGCCCAGAGCCACATCCAGCCTGGCCTTCAATGCCTCCAGGGATGGGACATCCACAACTTGTTCCAGTGTGTAAATATTCCTGTGTAATGTACAAATACAGAGTTCTGTATTTTCTCTCCTAAGACAGAAACACAGTCCAGAATCCCTAGTATAAATTGATCATTTCATGGCAATATCATAGTATTGTAAGTTCTGCAGTTAAGTCTTCAAATTTAATCAGAGTAGAAAACAATACTTCAAGAAGCTACTCAGAATCCTCTAATGCACTCAGAACACAACCTGTGTCCAAAAGTACAATAAAGAAAAGTGCTTTCCAGGAAGAAGTATTCTCAAAAGTAATCCTGCAGGATAATCTCACAACGTGCCTATTTTGAACTGGAATGGTAACACTTCACAGTGTTCTTGTTTAAACACCGCCACCACGAACGATATTTCTGCATTTCTCTGCTCAGTTTCTTCAATACCCGCAGCATATGTACACATTACCTTTTACTGGAAAACCCCATACACTGCTTGCTTTACTATGGATTAAGTGATATAAAAGGTGGTGTGTACGAAAGCACCAGTTGCCTGAATACAATCAATCTTTCATCTGTAAAAGGGTTGGTCTTTCAGAATCTTTGTCGATAAATTGCCATTTGAATGACAGGTGAAGCAATGTGGGTTTAACTACCTTAACAGTTGTAAAGTAGACTTCTCCACAGTGCTGATAAGCCACAAGGGTCTGTTCTTCTTGGTTCCGGGCTAGCCGGACAAACATCATCCAGTTTCCACAGTCTTCATTGGGAGTGTCCAGAAAGTACTTCCCTCCATCTTTCAATACCTGAAACAAAGGGGTAGGATTGGAGAAATAACATGGTAAAAACTAAGTCCCGTATGGAGACGCATTATTTTTTTTTTTTAATTGGGAATCAGGGCTACCAATTATTTACCTTCTTGTGGTGATAAATTTTTGAAATCATGTTTGTTTCAAAATAGATCACTCTTAGAGAACACTGAGTGCAAAAGAAAGTGAAGAATGAGTACCTTCTGAGGCACTCAACCAGTAGAATAGCTGTAAGGGCTTTGTATGTATTTCCAGTTTATATTTCTCATTTTTTATGTTACATAAAGATAGTATTACAAGAACAAGAACTAAGTGCAATCAGGTAAGAAGATAAGCTTTGTGCCTTAATGTACTTCCTGAGTAGCTGATAATCTCAAACTTCAATGCTGCATTAACACTGGTTTGCATGGAACAATCACACAAGTTGTGCAATAATTCCAAAGAGACTTTTTAACAGTCATCTCTTTTTAAAAATGTAAAATTAAATACAAATGAACAATCGTGCCAGAAAGACCTCATTCATTTTGCTTTACTTCATTCTTCCTAGATTCCATTTCAAGAGAATGTCTCTATGCGTAAACAGCCCCAGCCTCATACAGGACAGTTGCTTTTCCACTACACTGAATGTAGACATTTGAAGCTGCACAACAGATGCCAGCACTGCATGTATCGGTTCCAATAACCAGCTAAGCTAACCACTAATTGCAAAACAAGTTTTATCTCCACTGCTTCTGAGGACTATTTTACCCAACTTTGTCATTTTTCCAATGGAAACACTTGCCTGCTGGACAAGTCCCAGTTTAATCACATTCAGAATGCTGCTAAGAGAAATGCCAAGGCAACTACTGCTGCCATGTAGGCAAAGTCAGAGTCCAGTCTCTTCTTGTGAAGAAATACTCTTTTCATCAATCAGAGCTGTGCTTATCACAGTACATTTCAAAGCAAACTGGGCCAACTGATGGAGGATAGGGTGCGGTTTGCAGTGGCTTGGTGGAGAGGAAGGAACTGAATGCTTAGCTCATCCATGCTTGCAAATTTGCTAGATCTGTACCTTACCTTTTCCGCATTTGTAAGAACTAAAGTGTTGCACAGGGACAGAAGAAATTAATGCTCTCTGGTGTCATCATGCTACGAAAATCCCACAGAAGGACAGTGTTACCTTCCTGGCAGACCATTCATATGACTTCCATAAGCAAATGAAGTCTACAGCAATTACTGGACCTACAATTTTCATTCTCAAATGAAACTGCAGAAGTATCTGTATGTATGCCTTTCTCCACAGCAGCCTGCATTCCAGCCCCAAGCTTCTGAGGAAGAAAACTCAAATGAAGACATACAGCACATAACAGGACCCTCTCTTGGAGGGTGAGAGGGCCTGATGTTAAATGACGAGTCTTGGAAGAACCAAGACTTGCCACAGAGTTCTGACAGAGGCTGTGCTGGAATGCAGATGTGCTGTATGACAGAGACACCTGTGCAGGTGAGACCTAGGATAAGAGGACTATGATCAACCATCACTCCCAGGAAGCTGATGAGGGAAAAAATGTGCATGAAGATATATCTAGGCAAGGCTGGTCTTGACAGAGGCCATTATACGTGTGGAAAATTATAAAGACTGGTGTAAATGGTCCATATTGGATGAATAGCACATGCTTATGCAGCAAGGGATAGTAACTGCTCTAAAAATAAGAACCTGACCAAATAAACTGAATTATTACACTGCCTGTCAAAGTTTATACACAATCACATAATTAAGGAATGCTTCCTTATTTTTGCACTGTTCCTTCCTACTAAGCATGTGTCCTAGTGCATATTTCTGCCACTATTGCTAAGCCAGTGCACACACATGACCCTCCCAATAAAATGGTGTAAAGTACAAATTCTCTTGGTTCTAATTCGTAGGATCACAGAGTATCCCTTGTTGAAAGGGTCTCACAGGGATCATCAAGTGCAATCCCTGGCTCCACACAGGACCACCCAAAATTCATACCCTAGCATTGCCCAAAGGCTTCTTGACCTCTGACAGCTTGGGGCTGTGCCCATGGCCTTGGGCATATGCCATGTGCCATGTGCCCATGTGCCATGCCCATCACCCTCTGGTGAAGAGTCTTTACCTTACACCCAACCTGACCCTCCCCTGATTCGGCTCCATGCCATTCCCTCAGGTCCTGTCACTGTCACTAGAGAACAGATCTCAGTGCTGCTCCCACTCTCTCCTTGTGAGGAGCTATAGGCTGCCATGAGGCCTCCTCTCAGCCTCCTTGGCTCTGTACTGAACAAACTAAGTGAATACAGCCCTACTAGGGAAGACAGTACTGTCCCTGGATACATTCAATAGCCATACTCCATGAAAAATTTATCAAGAACAGTTAGATAAATAGATAAATCACTACAGAAATGATAAGCTTTCTAGAAACAAGAAAGCAGGAAAGTAAACTCAGCACACAAGAAATCTTCATGCTATGCTGTGCAATCCAATAATATGACTTAAATTCATACACAGAGATCAGAAGTACAATTAATTAACTAGATTAGAAGGCAAGTTGCCCATATGAAATGTTAAAAGACACAGATGCACTTCATGTTAAGGCACAGGGTTTTTACCTGCAGAACTAGCCTACTCTCATCATAGCAGGTCAATTTTGTAGATAGTTGACCAACGTAAGGACCAAACTGTGTTCTCTTCTGTATTACTTTCTTCGCAAATACTCCAAGGACTGTAAATAAAAAAGACCAGACTAATATTAATGCAGACACAATGAACTATTTCTTGTATAGTTACAGTCAAGAAAGTGGATTTAAACATAATAGTCCTGAATGCATTAATTCTTCTTCAAGATAAATATACAGGTAAACCATTCAAAGCGTTAAGAGTCTGAAAAGGATCCAAGTCTTTAAAGAGGCTCTGTAAAAATGGAACTTACATTGAATACAATTGAAAAAGTGCTTAAAATCCAGAACAGCACATTAACATGCAATGCTCAAATGTGCTGACTGTCTTCAGTGTACAAGATATTATCATAGCACTATGCTTATAGGCATAGTTGAGAAAATTGTCATCTCCCAGTAGAGAATCACAGAATGGCCAGGGTTGGAAGGAACCTCAAGGATCATGAAGCTCCAACCCCCCTGCCACATGCAGGGCCACCAATCTCCTCATTTAATGCCAGACCAGGTTGCCCAGGGCCCCATCCAATCTGGCCTTGAACACTTCCAGGGATGGAGCATCCATAACTCTCTGGGCAGCCTGTTCCATTACCTCACCACTCTCTCTGTAAAGAATTTCCCCCTGATGTCCAACCTAAATCTCACTGAGAAGATCTATAAAAACACAAAATCACCTGTTTTACTCATCTCATTACCTCCTACCTATAACCAATGGTGCAGTGTAACAGGCATCTTGCTATTCCCTTTCTGAAATGCCATCTAGGCAGAACTTATTTTACACAGCACACTGAGTTCACTTGCTCAAGCTTGAGCATTCAGACTTTCTATAATGTGAGTTGAAGATACTGCAAAAAGTGAATTAACACCTATATTCTTTTGAGTTTGCATGCCAGATGAGAGATGTTACTTACCATTTTGCTTCTGGCCTTTCATTGAATACACTTTCTTGGTTTTTTTTTGCATGGCTTGGGAAAAAGATGCACAATAGTGTACGGCTTTTACTATTACAAATTCAACATTCATTGTACTTGTATAAACTCAACAGAGCTAACAGATAGCTTCCTATTAAATGTCACATCAGCTCCAGAAGATATCCAAACATCAGCCTTTGCACTGAAGGTACTAGAAATCAGTCATAAATAACAGTAGCTGAATCTGAAGTTTAGTTACACTCAGCTTCATACAGATAATACCTGAGGATTATGTCTTAAGTAATGCATAAAAAAGGGCTAGTGTTAGTATTACTGGTCTTCTCTTTATGAAATGTGGGGAAAAAAGCTTCAGTACTTACTCTGCTGGTTTCCAGCTCGCAGTTCCAACACTCGCAAAGTAAGGTAGTGAGGTAGGGTGAGACGGGCTCGGCTAGGAATAACCCTGTCTTTAGCCCTGATGAGTGGTCCATGAAGTTTGCATTCTCCTACAAGGCTTTTACCGCAATCCTCACACCCTACAAATCCAGAAAAGAGAACCCATTACTAAAAATGCAGTATTTCTCTCCAATTTAGTCTCTAGTAATTGTCTTGCTTGAGAACACATCTTAGATTATCAATGTTTTTATTTACAGCACTTTTCCACGTTAGGTACAGAAGAGACTATCTGAAAGCCAAAACTGAAATAGGAAGGTTTGAAACAAGACCTCCAGTTTGTGCGTTCTAAATCAAGGTATATGCATTTACATACAGGTGAGAATGGCAAGGTTGCTAGTAATAATCAAGGTATCTCTCTTGCAGAGATCCAAGAAGCCCAGGAAAGATCTGTTTCTCTGTGATCTTGCACAGGCCCTGCTGAGTAAAAGATGAGACCCTTAGTGTATCATGAAAAATGAGTATAGTAGGTGTTACAGCCACAACTCAGTTGACAACCACTAAAGGCAGCATTCCCAGACTGTGCTGTCTATGGAAAGCCAAAAGGCACGCCACATTTCCCAGGCATAGTTTCACAGCAATCACATTTGCAGAATACATGAACCATCCACAGAAGTCACTAATGAGAAAGACGTCTGCAAATACTGACATTCTCCCAGCACATTAAGGTATTTTTGGTTCAGCGTAGCTTAGGCTGGTTGCCAGGGAAACTCGTATGGAGCAGTGACAAAATGTGGCAATGATCCTGTTCAACAGAAGACATCCAAGCACTGGAGTTACACAGAGTGATGGGAAAAACAGTGCACAAAACCTTTCTGTAGACAGTAGAAACAAAAGCAGTGAACCAACAAATCATCCATGACTACCTTGCTTTGTTTTACTTCTGAAAATTCTTTTGAGCAAGTCTATTCAAGTAAGTGACAGTAAGCAACAGAAGAATGAAGCCAGAACACCCAAACGAGTTTGAGGGAGCCAAGGGAAGCTATAGTGAAAACTGGGGCTGGCAAGATGAGTCTTCAGGTCAGGCTGAAGCTAGAAGCCAAAGAAAGAAGCATAAGGGCTCAGAGACAACATCTGGAGAGACACTGGGGACAATCCTTGAGAAAGGACAGTAGTGTCACAAATACAGTATTCAGCATAGCTCCAAAAGCTTTCCATTTGTTAACTAAAGTAGGCACTAGATTAAATTACATGCCTTACAAGTCTAGCCCAAAATCTTCCCAAATAAGTCCCAAGTGTTCCTACCGAGTTTTCTGGGCTTTCCATCAGCTGTAAATGAGGAGGTAGACCTGTATATCTGTCAAGTTAAAAACACAGCAGTAATCCATATTCTTCAGTATTTTGGGGATCACATAAGAGTTTTCTTTTTTCATGGCTCCCAGACTGCATGCCTGCACTACAAACAGCTGAAATCTACTATTTCTTTTTTTCCTGTTCGAGCTACAGATAAAGAACATGCCACTCTACAAGCATCACTGAAAACGCACACCCAAAAAACCCCTAAATACAGCTGCAAGGCAGATTTTTCTTGTTACACACTGTTTTATGTATCTGAAGGTCTTTTACAACTAGGCTGCAAGAAAAGAAATATTTTCACAGTGGTTTAACGTAATAGGCTTTTAAATAGATTACCAACAACCTATGTCTTCTGAGGGCAGCGAAATTATTAGGGGTCCTCTACCAGCTTCCTGGGCTTACCTAGAATAATAGCGACTTTGTTTCGAGTTGTGCAGCTCCTGCTTGGAGAGTTGTTCTATGCAAACAGCTGAAAAACATTACCAAAAGCAAAAGGGAGACAAAGAGCTGCTGTTAGAGGGAGGATGTATCTAATCGTAAAGTACACGACCTTATCACTCCATGCCATGCCACTGTGATTCATCGCAGCCCAGCTCCTGAGCAAACCTTGCAGCCCTCCTGGGGCAGCGCTGCTGCAGAGGACCTGGGGCAGGCAGCGGGCAGGCCAGGAGGAGAAAGCAGGGAAAATGAGTGCAACGGGCCTCCCTTGAACCAACCTCCAACATTACCACTACTGTTCTGTCAGTTAAATCCCACTGCTGCACAAGCAGCTGATTTGGTTTGAATTTTCCAAGCAAGGTGGCCTGATACGAAAGACCTGCCATCAGATACTCACAGAGACAGCGGTGTGACCGCAATATGAGCTCATCGAAGGCAGTTTGGCTGTTAACTTGTGAAAGCTGGCTGGTACACTCCCAGTAACACATGGTGACATCCCTGCTCCTGACCCGGGCGCTTTCCACCACCTCCAGGTGCCCCCACAAGCACAGCGGTGACCTCCCAGCAGGCCTCCATTCACAATGGGGGAACATTAGGTTTCAAAATAATAAAAATATAACGCTCTGTGCCCAGGGAGGTGGTGGAATCACCAGTCCTGGAGGTGTTCAAGGAAGGTTTAGACATTGTGTTGTTCTTTAGTGAGAACTACTGGTGATAGACGGTTGGACTGGATGATCTTATGGGTCTTTTCCAACTTTGGTGATTCTATGATTCCCAAATCAAACTTTATAACATACATGAACGATGCTCCTTGAAAATAATGCTAGCACACATAAATAGCTGAGAGAAAGTTTTCTAGCTAAGACTGGGGTGCTGGCCTGGAGAACGTGACAAACCATCTTCTAGAGCTGGAAGCAGCTCTCAATTAGGACACTACTCTTAGCTAATTGGTTTTCCCACCCATTTCAGCTGGCACTCCGGCAGCCTGGTATCTCTTGATACATGCACTCGTTAAGAACCTTGCTGCAGACTCCAGCCTAAAGTCTCCATGCAGCATCACGAAACACCCAGACCTACCCAATGTTCGCTCTAGGATCGTCTGCATTTTCTGATGTGTGATATGAAGATTGCTAGCTGATCTAGCAGTTTAATTGTAGTTCCAGTCCTCAAACTACATTTACCTCATGGTATTTCTGATGTTATACTGATGCACCTGGTACCCTGACTCTGAATGCATATCACATGCTGAAAATTGCTGGGTGTACCAGAAGCACAAGACCAGTCCACTGTAAATATGGTAACTGCTGAGAGTATCCACAGCCTTATGTAATCCCCTGGGAAGTGGGGGTCTTTGCAATTTCTTCCCCCAAAACTAACAGCACAAAATTGTCTTGTTACATTCTTCCATTTCAGACCAACTCACAATCCTTCATAATTCAATGCTAAATTACAGGGCAAGAAACGCATACGCCATTACAGCTTCACAGTGGCACCGGTTTGCAACACTCAAAACTTATTTCTGCTTTTTGTTAGGAACATTAGTAAACTGCCTGATGCTTTTACAGTCTTTCTGCTCCCTTAACTTACATTTATACAAATAAGATTAATGGATTCCATGTCATGTTTACAAGAATATGCGATAATGCACAAGCATGCAAGAACATCATAAAACCGCCGCCATACCTCTGCTTTGTTGCTCCTTTAATCTATAGGCAACAAAAATAAATGAAACATTCACGGGAACTAGAAGCTGTAAAAAGCTGAAGGTAATGATCTGAGCAACAATGCTATAGGATCTCCTACAGGATATTCATTCTTTGCCTGTAAAGAATTTCACAGAATTCCAAGCAACACTTTATCTACCTGCAGATTCAACCACACAAGCTAGCAGATCCCATAACCAGCACAATGTTATTCTACTGCGTGCAGCGTGGCTGGTTTCTGCCTGGCTGTCAGGACGCTGCCAGAAGCCACAGTGCCCACAGGATACACTTTCACCCACCAGCTGACCACAGCAGGCTGACTGCCATACCTGAGCCATTCTCAGTGCAGAGGTGGTTTCCTCAATCCAGGTGACAGCACTCCTTGTAGTGTGCAGGATTGCCAGACTGGCCCGTTCTTTCCCTCAGGACAACCGCAGGGCCATCAGCCCTTCACGGGGCCGCACTCCCGCAGGTAGCGGCAGCCAGGCAGGACTCCAGCACAGTTAACAAACACAGGTTTCCAAAGCAGTGGCCCGATCCCTGGGCAGTGCCACCCCCACAGACACAAGCCCGGCCTCAGGGGAGATCTCATTAGCGTGGGCACAGCGCCACGGGCTGCGGTTACACGAAGTCCGGTTGTGGAGATAACAGAGCTATACATAGCTATACTAGGAACGCAATCACTGCCACAAGAGCCCCAACATACCACCAGTCCCTTGGCCAATCAGCTGTAGAGCACAACTTTTAAAAAATCGTTTGCTAACAACCAGATCCCTATCAGGCAACCTTCCTGCACCTTCTCCAACCTCTGCTCTTAAGGGATGTTACGGTACCTGAATCCTCCTTCAGTGTCTCTGAAGGCGTGTGCAGTACTCCTTGCACGCACTGTGAGCACAGAGGTAACTCCTTCCTTTTACAGCACCCATTTCTTGCAAAGATGCACTGCAAGAAACGACTGTTCTGCCGAGCAGCGCTCAAAATCTGCTGTGCAGTTTTGCAGCATTAGAATTAGCTCCCGTGCACAGAGGGAACAAAGATCAGTGTACACAGTACTCCAAATCCAAGTCTAATTACAATCATAAGATTTGCATAGCAAACAACAGTAATTTACCCCAAAGTAAAACTGTGCTGCTTCATTACCCTTGCCCTGCTTTCACGTACAGGGACACCACATAAATATCTTGTTGAAATTTTCTCCCTTAGCATATGTTGCATTTGCAGTATTTGAGTTTTGATTCTTCTTGTGTAAAAGTATGCGAGGCTTTCCTTCTCTGTTGTTTGTTCTAAGGCATCCATTGCTGGAAAAACTTGAAAAGCTTGTTCCAGAATATTATTTATTTGGCAAAAATACAAAGTACTCAATTAGCAAACAATTAATCCCAAGTTATTTTGCCATTAATGTGGGCCACTGTCACACATTTCTTCTGGAAAAAACATTTATGAAAGGTCTTACATGTCCTGAGTTTGATGCGCAAAGTATATTCATTTACAAAGGAGCTGAAGCTCTTAACTGATTAACAGTTCATCCAATTTATATTGAAGTAGAACTCCAGTTACAGTTACCAGAATTCAGAATATTAAAAAAATTATTCTATTCTAACCTCTTTAGCTTCTGATGTTTTGCTGTGCTACATTTTCCACTGACT